AAACAAATGCAAGAAGTCATCAAAACTTGCATCACTAGATAAAAGGTTCTAACAATGACTAAGAAAACACCAAGATGGCTTTAATGGACTGATAATGGCAGGGTGAAAATTAACCTCAAGGTTAATCAAGAACTGTGTTCCTTATTCAACTCTAATTCACATGTATTAACAGTACATTTTATGTAAACAACTTTAAGCTGCCTGAATCCATATTTAAGAATTCAGAAGAAAAACAAAAGAAAAAACATCCCACTGCCATCTAGATGATTCCAACTCATAGCAACCTTACAGGACAGAACAGAACTGTCCCATTGGGTTTCCAAGGCTGTAAATCTTTATGGAAGCAAGCTGATTCATCCTTCTCCCACAGAACAGCTGGTGGGTTCGGCTGGTAGATACAGCTGGTAGGTTCAGATAGTCGACTTTTTGGTTAGCACCCAAATGCCTTAAACACTGCGCCACCAGAGCTCCTTAAGAATGCAAAGGTACGTCAAAATTATTACATCATATTTGACCTTATGTAAATTATCCTACTTAGAGCAAATAGTTATCATTCATCTTAGTTTTTTTCTAAATAACTAAATGAAAAAGGAGAAAAGGGAAAGGAGAATGTCCCAAAACCTATCATTTAGATTCTTCTAATGTACTATTTTGGTTAAGTGTTCTCTAAAACAGACAGGTACAACTCTTAATTGACAAGTTTTCAAAAGATACATAAAAGCATAGTTACCAGAAGAAATAAAAAAGTTTCAGGCATAAATAAATGAAACAGAAAATAGAAAGGAAATAGAAAAAACAAGACTAGAAGTTGGTTTTCTGAAAAGATTAATAAAATTGGCAAATCACTGGTAAATTTAACAAAAGAAAAGAGGAAGAGACTACAAAGAACATGAATAAGAAATGAGTTGAGGGGCATCACCACAGAAATTAAAAGGATAATATCAGGATATGACGAAGACAGAATCACCATCACCAGCCCAAGGGATGGTGAGGCCAGACATGCTGCCTCCCTCCAGGCTTTTCACCAGCCCTGACACCAACCTTTCCGCCCGCAGCACCTACCACCTCTGTCTGGGTTCAATAATTCGCTGCAGTGGCCACACAGAACTCACAGATTATGGTGTTTATTAGGGAAGCTACAGGCTACAATTGAAGTTCGGGAACACTCAGTCTCTCAGCCAACAGTCTTTCTCAGTCTCTTTCTCTCAGCAGCGCGTGTCTCTCTCCCAGCAGTGTGCGTCTCTCAGTGTCTCTTTCTCAGCAGCATGTGTCTCTCAAGAACGTATTTCTCTCAGCAGCATGTCTTTCTCCACCAGCAGTCAGAGAGATTTCTTCCACCTCTAGGAGGCCTCCTTTTGAGCCTGGCAGAGTGGCCAAACTAACCAATCATAACATCAGAATTCCATACACCTGAGAGGACAAACCTCCCAGAAAATTACTTTGTGCTGTTCCCAACAGAAATACCACAGGTGGATAACTAACAATCAGGAGCTACTTGTTGCTCATGGCCAATTCCACCACAGAGTTTACAAAGACTTATGGCTAGAAAAGCCATACCAGGTAATTTCTACACTGCAACAGGTCACAAAAAAATCACCAACAAAAAAAAAAGCCCTGGCCCAAATGGTTTCACTGGAGAAGTTTACTGAACATTCAGAGAAGAACTGACACCAATGCTACTCAAACTATTCCAGAACATAAAAAGGGATAGAATCCTCCCTAATTCATTTTATGAAGCAAGCATAACCTTGATCCAAAACCAGGCAAAGGTATCACTAAAAAGGAAATATACAGACCAATATTCCTCATGAATATAGATGCAAAAACTGCAACAAAACACTAGCCAATAGATTCCAACAATATATCAAAAAATAATACATTATGAGCAAGTAGGGTTCATACCAGGTATGGAAGGATGGCTCAATATAACAAAAACAATCAACGTCATCTACTACATAAATAAAACAAAGAAAAACAACCACATAATCATATCAATTGATGCAGAAAAGGCATTTGATAAACTCTAACACCCGTTCCTGATCAAAACTCTCAGAAAAACAGGAACAGAGGGAAATTCCTCAGCATGATAAAGGGTATGCATGCAAAACCAACAGCCAACATTATTCTCAATGGAGAGAGTCTGAAACCATTCCCCTTTCAGACAGGAACCAGACAAGGATGCCCTCTATTACCACTTCTTTTCAACATTATACTGGAAATCCTAGCCAGGGCAATAAGACAAGAAAGGGATATCAAAGGCATCCAAATTGGTAAGGAAGAAGCAAAACATCCTTATTTGCTCATGATATGATCCTACATATAGAAAACACCAGAGGCTCAGCAGCACTCAAAATAAACATACAATAATCAGTTAGATTCTTCTACACCAGCAAAGAGATTGCTGAAAAGGAAATAAGGAAATCAACACCATTTACAATAGCTACCAAAAAAAATAAAATACTTGGAAATAAATCTCACTAGAGACACAAAAGAACTGTACAAAGAAAACTACAAAACGCTACTTCAAGAAACCATAAGAGGTCTACATAAATGGAAGAACATACCATGCTCATGGATAGGAAGACTGAACACAGTGAAAATGTCAATACTATCCAAAGCAGTCTATACATTCAACACAATCCCAATCTAGATCCCATGAACATTCTTTAAGGATATGGATAAAGCAATCACTAATTTTATATGGAAAGGAAAGAGACCTCGAATAAGTAAAGCACTATTGAAGAAGAAGAACAAAGTAGGAGGTCTCATGCTCCTGGATCTCAAAACTGACTATACAGCCACAGTAGTCAAGACAGCTTCATACTGGTACAATGACAGACACATAGACCAGTGGAACAGAACTGAAAACCCAGAAATCAATCCATCAACATATGGTCAGCAGACTTTTGACAAAGAGCTGAAATCCATTACATGGGGAAGAGATGGTCTCTTTAACAAATGGTGCTGGCAAAACTGAATATCCATTTGAAGAAAAACGAAAGAAAATCCATACCTCACACCATACACAAAAACTAACTCCAGATGGATCAAAGACTTAAATGTGAAACCTAAAATTATAAAATTCCTCAAGGAAAAACTAGGGGCAAATTTGGGGGCCTTAATTTACAGCATAAATAGACTGTCAAGCATAACCCAAAATGCACAAACAGCAGAAGACAAACTAGATGAATGGGACCTTCTAAAAATAAAATTTTTGTGTGCTTCAAAAGACTTCTCAAAAAGAATAAAAAGAGAACCTACGGATCGGGAAAAAATATTCAGCAACAACATAACTGACAAGGGACTTATCTCTAAAATTTATAGAAAACTCCAACACCTCAACAACAAAAAAGACAAACAATCCAATTAAAAAATGGGCACTTCAGCAAAGTGAATAGACACTTCAGCAAAGAGGACAGTCAGGTGTCCAACAAACACATGAAGAAATATTCACATTCATTAGCCATTAAAGAGATGCAAATGAAAACAACAATGAGATACCATCTTGCCCCAGCAATTTTGCCCAATTTTTGAACTTTGCCCAATTGCAAAATTCAAGACAGAAAATAACAAATACTGGCAAGGATGTGGAGAGATTGGGACTCTCATACACTGCTGGTGGGACGGTAAAAATGATACAACCACTGTGGAAATCAGTATGTTGATTCCTTCAAAATCTGAAAGTAGAAATACCATTTGATCCAGCATTCCCATTACTAGGTATATATCCTAAAAAAGTGAGAGCCAGGACAAGAACAGATGTATCCACACCCATGTTCATCACAGCACTATTTACAATAGCAAAAGGATGGAAACAACCTAGGTGCCCATCAACAGAATAATGATGGCTAAGCAAGCTATGGTACATACACACAACGGAATACCATGCAACTAAATAATGTAGAATCTGCAAAATACCGCATCACGTGGATGAACTTGTAGGACATTATGGTGAGTGAAGTAAGTCAACCACAGAAGGGAATATTAGTTCACTATATATCTCTGGTAGCATAGTGCCTAAGGCACTTGACTGCTAACCAGAAGGCTGGCGGTTCAAACCCACCAGCCACTCCTCGGAAGGAAGGTTG